CCCCGCCCCTAAAAAACACTTTAAGAAGAGCTTCTAGGCAGGCTAGATCTACTAATTGATAGGCTTACAGTAATTACTCTATGGCTTTGTTTTTACAATGAACTATGCTCATTTGATAACATTAGAAATGATTCTAAGTGCATAGTCTCCTCTTAGAATATAATCTACTGTTCTATTCGGAGGTGGATGCTATTCGAAAAAAAGATATCTCTGTCTTCATTAGAAAGTTCGACATTGTTGCCACAAAACATTGGAAAGTAAATTCCAGAACATACTTGAACACGAATGAAATTTCTGTACAAAACAGCAGGGTTAGTTTATCTGTTGCCAACGGCTAAAATAAATCTTTTTGCATAGAAGATCGAAGGAGATAACTCTAGATTCTATGCGTGAGGCTCATCCACATCCTAAACATTGCTGGACTTCCGTTGATGGTGCGTCTTTCGGCTTTTGTTATTAAATAGTTACTGGACTAGATTTTAGTTCTAACTGTACGTATTATTAAAGCTTAAAGACGTTTATGAGAACACGTGAAATGTGTTGTTTTGAAAGATGAAAAACCTCCTTACAGACTTTCATTACAGCAGAAGTCTTTTTTTTTGGAGTAGGCTAAACCATCCATAGATCAACAACTGCGTCTGCAGCGAGGCACCACCAATAAACAAAGCAGATTTTCATTTGTCTTTGTTTTATGTTTCAGTGACAAGACCGCTAGATCAAGCCTTTGTTGGGGTTGGGCCTTTGCTATGGCTTTGAGGTTGAGGACATGGTTAGGGGTTTTGGGTTGTTTTTGCACAATTTTGTAGATTCACCCTTTTTCTTTAACTTTAGGAAGAGGCTAGCCGTACTTAATTTTAAGGCCGGCATTATTTCTCCGAACGTTCGGGAAAATAAAGCTGGGCACTATTTCTCCGAACGTTCGGGAAAATAAAGCTGGGCACTATTTCTCCGAACGTTCAGGAAAATAAAGCTGGGCACTATTTCTCCGAACACTCTGAAATATCATCCTTTCCCCCAAATTTCGGATATTATATAGATCTAGATCTATAATTATAGTATGGGCCTACCAAAGATTGTTCGTATACAATATGGTTCAATCGGTCCAAAAAATGTCCGCCGTAAATATTTATATAAAGAAATGCTACAATTCCAAACAGTTTTTCGCTATAGATATGACGTGTTGCCTATGAAAGGTGCTGCTTTTAAACGTAATGTGTTGTGTTCACTCGTGTGCTGTCTAGATCTAGATCTACGGAGGGTTATTGATAACTACACATAGAACTGGCATCTGCGTTTGTCACTGCTGCGACCAATGTACTGACACTGGCAAGCCCCTTAATGTGTGTGATTCCATAATTTACATGTAATATCCTGTACTTTTTTTAAAATTACGCACATTTAGGGTTAAAACTGCCAATCTTCTTCGGACAGGTGGACACACGCCCTTATTTGTTAATGTTTGTTGTTGTTTATGGGCTGTTCTAATTTTGATTTCTTTCTGTTATGAAACCTTTCTTTTTCACGTTTTTACACTCATCTAAAAATCTCATCTAGACTAGCTGTTGAAAATTGAAATAGATATAGACCCAAAAATTTGCTCCTGTGTGTGTGTGTGTGTGTGTGTGTGTGTGTGTGTGTGTATGTATGTGTGAGTGTTTGAGTGTGTCTGTGTGTGGTAGTAAGTGGAGAGTGAGGAGTGTGTGTGTGTGTTTGTTTTTCGGGCTTTATTTCAGCCTTTATTCAGTAACAGTTCAAAGTATACAAAAATAGAAACACAGGATCCATTCACTCCAGGACTCATGAGTCATTCGTCTCTTTCAGTTTCTTCACTCTTTCATTCAATTCCCGTGTTCTCTCCCGCGGCTCATCCCCGTCCGCATGACTTTCATACCCCACCCCATCCCTCCAGGCACACACAAAGAAAATCTCACTTGTTCCCTGCGAACCATGGACAATAATATAGGCAAAACACCGCCTGAGCTGCATTCCTTTTGTTCGTGAGCTGTGGACCAGGCCAGGGGTGGTCAGTGTCGTCGTCTTTTAGTTGCTGTCGCCTGTGGATACACTCGCACATTCTTCCTTTCACCCGCTCTTTCACTCACACTGTCTCTCCATCCACAGTTCAGCTCGTCATACGTTCAAAAGTTGCCCACTAGTTATGTTTAGTTAGTGTGTGTACATGTGCATGATGGTGATGGGTGTGTGGTGGGTGTTACTGAAGGTTGTCTGTAGGCGGGCTTGCCATGCGGTACGTGTTCCTTCCCAGACCAGAGGCAAAGGCAGAATGAAAGTTGGCGCCGAACTCTCGCAATAAATAGGCAAAAAATCACGAGACCGGAAGCCGAAAACCGTTCGGAGAAATAAAGATCGGCACTATTTCTCCGAACGTTCGGAGAAATAGTCACTTCGTAATTTTAATGACGGCTAGACTCAGTCTAGAAATCTAGCTGTATTCTTAATATGGTGGCTAGACTGACCATTTACAAAAAATAGGCCTACTGAATTGTAAATACATACATTTTTAGTGTGCAGTACCTAAAGTATTTGTATTTGAGACGAAACCAGGTGCCTTAATGACAGTGCATGTATTTTAAACCTCCTGTTTTCTAATGTTAATAGGGCCCAAGATAAGTACGGCTAGACTGGCAGTCTAGCCGTACTTAAGTACGGGTAGACAGCCAGGCTAGCCGTACTTAAGGACGGCTAGACTGTCAGGCTAGCCGTACTTAATATTGATGGCTGAATTGTAAATGAAATTTTTAGTTTGCAATGACTAAATAACTAAAGTATTTGTATTTCAGACAAAACCAAAAGGCGGTGCCTTACTGACTTGCATGTATTTGAACCTGAATAATTACTAGATCAAATAAGACCTGTGTACTTAACAGGCTTGAGTCGATAGGGCCTAACCTAGATCTAAGTACGGCTAGACTGGCAGTCTAGCCACTTGGCAGTCTAGCCACTTCGTTTTCTTAGGCCTAGGCCATAGATCTGCTAGGTGAGAATAACTCATCATGATCCCGCTTGCTTCCCCTCCCCCCCCTCCCAGACATCGACAGTGAATGTAGATCTATATTTTTAATGTAATAGTTCGGCCTGCTTCAAGCGTTCTGTCCCATGAGACGAAGGAGTGCTCTTACAGAATTAAAGTCGATAAGGCTGGCTCAAAAATAAACTCTATTCGCTTACCGTTCTCGAGATTTGTTGATAATTTGTGAATGGAATGGACAGCGCGTGTTTACGTGTGTGTAGGTGTGTATGTGTGTAAAGTGTGTGTGTGTGTGTGTGTGTGTGTGTAAGATGTGAACGGGGGGGGGGGGGGGGGGGAAGGGAGAGTGGAGGGATTTTTTGTTTGTTTGTGAAGGATTTTAATTTTTGCTTTAGGGGTGACTAAATGAGAAATAGGTTACTACTGCCAAGGTCGAGCAGTCTTGTTTTCTCGCAGTACCTAGAAGACATTTTTAAATGAAGTCCGGGAACTTTGCCCCCACCACAACTGAATATATTCTGAATGATAGTTATCTTTGTTTGAGTCTGGTGTTGTAAAAGTAAATGAAGGAAAACAAAAACAGTGATTTAATGAAACCATTATATATACTATGAAATACTGTAGAAATATCTATTAAGTCATGCTTTCTTTTCAGTGTAAACGGTGATTGAGTGATTTCCTGTGATCTCAGAAAAGGGTGACAGTCATTTCATATCTCGGTGCAGTTGATGCACTTGATGAATAATTATCTATCACTCCAAGTGACAAGTGGCTGCAGTCATGTATGAGGTCATTGTCCTGAAAGAAGGCTACAACCATCCGGAGACACAAGGTATATAAATGACTTATTGACTTATTGCATTATAATAACTTTCAATATCAATCAATGCTGATTGGTATGGTGCGTCTTTAGAAAGTACCCTTCTATTCCCTTTCCTTTTCCTCATTTTTTACTTTTTAAACCCTGAGTTTTTCCCACCGTTTCCCGGAGTTTTTTTCTACAGTCCCCGAAACCTGGTACACTATGTATCATTTTAACCCCAGAAGCTTGCCTCCAACCACTAAATAGCGAAAACAAAGGCTTAGTCATTACTAAAAAACTTGGATCGGGAATAGTTCCGAAAAACAAGAAGAAACTAGCACTAAATGAAATGATACAGTTGTCACTAGTGTCGGACGCTACCAGCGTCTGAGTGCAGCCTTGCCGTAAACATATTTGATCTGTTGTTTCAATCGTTGTGATCTTTTGTGTTACATTATATATCAGCATCGTCATCATCATCAGAAGAAGGAAGAAAAAAAAAAGAAGAAGAAGGAGGAGGAGGAAGGTAAGAAGAAAAGGAGAAAAGGAGGGGGAAGTGGAGGAGGAGGATAAGGAGAAAGAGGAAAAGGGGGAGGAAGAGGAGGAGTAAGAAGAAGGAAGAGGTGTAGGACGATTTTATCGCTTCCATACTATCAGCTGCAGTTATTTTAGTGCTAGAGAGGCAATTCGGGTGAAAACAGCGGTCACAATGTTGAAAATTTACTAGAAGTAGAAAAAGCAGAACACAGCAATGGGTCTATTAACTACATTTGAAGTAGAAGAACAGGAGGCTCGAAGAGTAAGGGAGAGCAGCAATAGCAACAACAACAGCAACATAAAGAAAATGTGAAGAAAAAAAATTATGAGGAGAAAAGACAGTAATCCGAATAGGGGGAAATGCCTTCACAATTCAGTGACTTTCCAGTACAAAGGTAAGGAATTTCTAATGTTTTAAAGATATTTCTAGACAAAGTTCAGATCTGTCCATGAGTGAACTTATGAAATGGACAATTATTATCGATAGAGCCAATAGTTTTTAAAAAATAATATTTTTTGGTTTAATTGGTTTTATCACTAGGCCGACGATATATGCTGTTTACATTATGGCTGTTCAGCCAGACAATTGATAAAATTGATGAAATCAGGCGCTTGTCAAAATGATGAAAATGAAAAAAAAACAGGCATTTTTCTGCCAGTTTGGCTATTTTGATCAACATCTTTTATGTCCATATAAAAACACATGTCCATGTGTATTTGACCGAAAAACGTTGAACGAAGGCACAAAATATGTCATTTTTCAGGTTTCAAGAACTCTCAAGCTATTGAAGTGATTGAACTTTGACAGTCATTTTCTCACTCTTTTACCACTGAAACGGGGTGATCCCACCTCCTTCAATCACAAAAAATGTCAACGTCTTTTCAAGATAGATGGGTATATTTTTTTTCCATTGAAAACGAGGCAAATGAATAAGATTTTAGATGATAGCAATAACTCCACATGCCCAAAAATTGAGGAGCGCCCGTTTCCGCCGCGTCGTGACACAATCATATAAGCTCTTGTACTGAAGAATATTGTGGTTTCTCTTTCAGGTACCACGAGAGCCGGTGCCACTGTCACTCTCCTCAAAGGTCCCAGCAATATCATTGTGGACACTGGCAGCCCTTGGGACAAAGATGTTGTTCTCAAAGGTGAGGCTATGACAGACTTACTCAGGCCAAGCACTCCAATCGAATAGGAGTTGTCTCACTTTTTTTTTTTCGTTTGAAGTACCCCGATAAGACTTTCATGAAATTCCATTTTTTTTCTTGAATTCTTTTTCTGACAGGTCATATGCTACTTACAACCTGCTGCTCTGTTATTAGTGCTCTTTTCTTGACTCAAAAACAAATGATCGTTATTGTGTCGAAGTGCCTCTTTACTGAAACAAACTACTGTCTAACCTGCTCTTATGACCGCCTGATAAAGACAATCACCCGTGCAAACGGCCACTTCCTATAAAATCCTCCCTTGCGTGTTTCTTTTTAACGTTATAAGGACACTGTAAGACATCCACCTGTCCAAGAAGGCCAGTTTTCACCTTTGATAGCGTGACTTTCCTCCCTCTCCTCATGCCCTATATTCCCCATTTTACTTATAACTGTCTTAACCCTCCTAGCACCATGAATAGGTCAGCAGGTCAGCTCAGCAGAACCAAAATGGCGGCCAGCTGATGGCTTCCCAGAACCAAATTATTTCAGTGTTTTGCAGAGGTTCAGGTGGTGTAGCAAAGAAATTGCTTTGGTTTTTTAGCCAAGCGACGTATTTCAATGAAATTTCACATACAAAGGCCATGGACATCTGCATCTAGATTTAGAATGGCCTACGCTGAAGGCGGGTGCATCAGGCCGGTAAAATCTGGTATGGCTCTACAGAGGGAAAGCCGGTAAAAGCTGATATGGCAACATGACGGGAAGACTGGTTTAGGCTCAATTTTGACCCTCTGATAATTTGAAGAGAGCATCGGAGCATCAATGGACATGCCTGAAATGCAGGGATGCTACTTCCTGAAACAAATAACCATGAACAGTGGCTCAAAAAGGGTCAAGCAATTTTTCGACTGATGTTCTTCCAGGTCTGGCGGGGCATAACCTGAAGCCGGAGGACATCCAGTACGTGGTCTGCTCCCACGGCCACAGCGACCACGTGGGCAACCTGAACCTGTTCACACAGGCGCTGTTTGTGGTGGGCTACGACATCTGTCGGGGGGACCAGTACCTGCTGCATGATTTCAAGGAGGTAATTCCACAGATGAGGGTGGTAGTGTTTTACGGCGCTCGCAACTGCATGAGGTCATATGAATGAGCGCGCGGGACACATTAAACATATTAGTTGGTAGGAAATTTTGAATTTTGCCAGAGTGGCGGCCGAAGCCTCTACTCTTATTGATTTTAGGTCACCAAGGGATCTTTAATGTGTGCTACTTGCATGCGGGACCTCTGAGATTTGTCGCCCTTGTCCGAGAAGGCTGGGTGTAGATCTTTCCTACCAGAAGATCAGGGGTATGGCTGAAAGACAGCAGTAAGGAGTCAAGGAGAAGCAGTAGAAAGGCTGCAGAAAGAGTTAGGAGCCCAGAGGAAGGGGCAAAGGAGGTGAGGGGGTGGGGGCAGAAAGTGGAGACGAAAGCAGACAACAGAACATTGCTAGAGAGCAGGAAAGGAGGCGAAAGGAGACAATTTTAGAGAAGAAAATTTTTTGGTTACTACCCGGATTTGAACCCGGGACCTTTGAATGAGAGGCGAACACCTTATCCTCTAGGCCACGAGAGCCCCTTTTCCATAGATGAGTTGCTACCTTAGAATTACAAAGTTCTATGTGGCACCTTTGGCCATTTTGAGTTACAAAGACCAAGAAGTCAGATACCAAATGTTCTATTCCCTCTAACAAAATCGTAGTCGTTATCAAGATATTTAAAGATTTGCATTCCTAAAAGCTTGACATGTTGTGAAACTCAAAATGTTTGACACCAAAATTTCTCAAAACCAGGTTCTGAATAGATAGAACTTTGTAATTTTAAGGTAGCGAAGTGTCTCTGATCAAACATTTCGCGACCTCCGTGCTTTAATGTCGTATATATCCATTTTTTTAAACCGTGAAAACAGTTCATAACAAAGAGTGAGCTTAAGAAGAAGTCACATTTTCATTGTTTTAAAAAAATGGAGATACGACAGGAAAGCACTGAGGTCACGATTTATCGTCCTTTCTCTCCTCTTTCTTTTTTATGTTTGTTACTCTCTTGTAACACCTCTAATCTTCAGCACTTATATTGTGATCTTGTTGTGTTGCAAGACTAAAAACGAACTTTTTGTCGCAGGGCATTCCGTACGAGATTGACGAGGACGTGGAGGTCTGGCCGACCCCCGGTCACACCGGCAACGACGTCTCTGTGGTGGTCAAGAACACAAACCTGGGCACCGTTGCTGTCGTTGGTGAGTGGCCTAGTGTAAAGTTACCTGGCCGTCCGATGAGTCAGGTCTGTCAGGGGGCCCCCGTCTAGGATAGATGTTGCCTTGTCCCTGTCCTGTCTGCGACCGAATCTCTCAGTGAGTGTCTCTCGGACGACGTCGGCCTATTTCCCGCTGCTCAATGTGATGTCATCCGAGGGCGTGCTACTCCCCTAATTATCTTGTCCCCACGGTAAAGATAAGAGTCATGTCCCTTGACTTCACAGCCTGGGAGAGGGAAAAATCACTAAATCTGTTTTTGAATTAGGGTGTGGTAAGTTTGGTTTAGGTTTACTTTGTTTTGTTTTTTTTTGTTTAAAAGAAAAAAAGATAATCGCTTTTTTTTTTCTTTTGTGTATTTATGATCATGTTATTTGTGTTGATGTTTATCATAGTTTTTGCTTTTTTGTAGTAATTTCTGTTCTCTTCTGTATTTGTTCACCACAGTTATTGCGTTTTTGTTTATCATAGTTATTGTGCTTTTGTATTTATATAGTTTTTGCTGTTTTTGTTTATCAGAGGCGGGCGGTTGGCGGATGCTCTGGTGTGGTTTGCTCCTTCTTTCCTATCAAATATCTATCGTCCTTATCTTCCCTTCTTCTTTTTTATGTTTATTACTCTCTTGTAACACCTCTAATCCCCTGGCGCTCATATGACCTTATGCAGTTGCGAGCGCCTTAAAACCCTCTACTAAAGACTAAAGTTTATCAGAGTGCTTGGGTTTTTGTTTATCATAGTAGCCTATATGTGTTTTTATTTATTATGATTTGGGGGGTTATTATTTTTGCTTTTATCTTAGTTTTTTTTGTTTCTGTTTATCTCTGTTCTTGTATAATTGTTGATACGGTAATGGTGCACTTTTTAATCATCTGCTGTACTTTGACATACGTTGACGCATCATTTGTGAGGCAGCATGGTGAAATCAGGCGTTCGTCAAAATAACAAAATCGTAGAAACAGATATTTCTCTGCCAGTTTGGACATTTTCATCGAATTTTTATCTATTGGCTTAACCTCTTTTATGTCCGTTTAAAAACATATTTCCATGTGAAATTTACTGAAAAACATTCATAAAAGGCAGAAAATATGACATTTTAAAGTTTTCAAGGACTCTTTAGCTATTGGAGTTACCAAACTGGCGGCTATTTTCTCGCTAATTTCACCACGTAAACCAAGCGATATCACTTCTTTCAGTCGCAAAAATCTTGAGTTCTATTCAAGAGAAATGGATATTTACTATATGGATATGTAACTGTGCCTGAACTGCTACAGGGGAACTGCTTCTTTTTCTTTCCTAATCCTTACTATCTTCATTTTCCTCTACTTCTTTTGTATGTTTGTCACACTCTTGTGACCCCGCTATTTCCGGGGTGCCATTATAGTCGAAGCAGACTTTTGGGCTGTTGAAGCTAGAGAGGTGAGCAGAGTAAGCCTGATTCCCTGTGAAGACTTCTCTATTGACACCCACCCCTTGGCAATCATATGACCTTGTGCAGTTGCTAGTGCCATAAAAACTCTACTAAAAATCTTACTAAAGCTAAAAAACTGTGTCAATGTGCATCTCTTTATACAAATATACCACGATTGCCTAGTGGTTAGGCTCTCAGACTCGCAACCGTACGGTCATGGGTTCGAATCCCGTCAGGGACCCGGCGTTGTGGTCTTGGGAAAGGCACTTTACTCAAATTTTCCTCACTTCACCCAGGTGAGAATGCGTACCCAGCTATAGACAGCGAAAGATGCTGTCAGTTTGTAAGTGTTTAAGCGCTTAATCAGCTGCTTAACCTGTATGCTTCCCGGAAAGCTGAGAATGTTTCTGAATGTTCTATGGTCTGTTGGAGTAATAATATAGCGTTTAGTGCACAGAGCTTGCTGCACACCGGGGGTATGGGCTATACACATGCTATTTATTTTTCATATTATTATTATTATTGTTATTATTATTATTATTATTATTATTGTTATTATTATAATGGTAATGATTCTTCTTCTTCTTCTACTTCTTCTAATGATGATGATGATGGTGATGATGATTATCATTATGATTATTATTATTATGATCATGATTATGATTATTATGATGATGATTTTATTATTATTATTGTTATTATGATTATGGTTGTAATTATTTTCATTATTATTATGATTATGATGATGATTATTTTTATGATGATTTTGATGATGATGATTATTATTATTTTTATCCTGATTATGATGGTGATGATGATTATTATTATTATTTACTCTCCAGGTGACCTTTTTGAGTGTGAGGCTGACCTGGACTGTCCGAGCCTGTGGCAAGACCACAGCGAGAATCCGTACCTGCAGGAGAAATGTCGCATCAACATCCTCCGAGAGGCCGACTATATTGTGCCGGGCCATGGAGCTATGTTTCACGTAAATCTATTTCTTCCTGATTCATTTTATGTTGATAGGTTTATGTTTATATAATCCTTGTTACTGGTTTCTTGCAAATATAAAACAGACGAAAAAGTCTTTTGATAATAAATGATGAGAGAATACATACAAGTGGGTGTGCAGTGCTTTTATATAATTTGCTGTTTATTCAGACTCCTGCAGATTTTTATTGAGATCAACTTCGGCAAGGGTTTTCAAACCCTCCCAGCCCCATGCGCATATATTTTCAGCAGCACGTGTACCTCCCACCATCCCAAGAGCATATATTCTCAGTTTGGGGGGGGTTTCAGATTTGTGCATTTTTTTAAATTAACAAACCTAATTAAACTTTAACATTCATAATATTTGTTCATTTACCCTTTAACATTGTTATATGTTACTATCTAAACCTCTTTATAAAGATACTACATCACTTTTCAGAATGCCTGCCTCTTTTTCTGAAATACTGCTGTATTGGCTGGGACTGGGGTTAGGGAGTGCATAAAAATGGCTGGGCCTGGAAGGGTTGACAAAGAAAATTTACCTGTTTCTTCCAATTACATTGTTGAAAGATAACACGATCAATATGCTCTATGTGGACAAAGGCATTTTCAAACAAATTCAATCATTTTGTGTTTTGTTCACCTTTTTAGCTACAGTTTTACAAATGCAGTGAATTACTCTTGACAGTGTCATGTCATTGCTTGTAAATGTACAGACGGTACATCAAAATCCATTCTGAATTTGATAGACTCTCAGTAGAAAGGGATGAGGACTGTGTCAAAAAAGTTGAGTGCCTTTGATCTCTTAGACACTCCTTTCAGATTGTTCTGGCCCTGTAACATAAATATTGCCAAAGAGAAACATGTGGTGATGAGTCAGTATGTATAACTCTTTTAACTCGCTGACTGCTAATACCAACACTGCATCGATGGGCTTCAACATATGAGAGATGCCGAATCCACACCCCCGTCGGTTTCCCAGAAATCAGTGTTGGCTGTAAGAACATGCACACACTGGCAACAAAAGGGTTGAATGATCTAACAGTGTGTCAATGGAGGCCTAAAACATTTACGATTGAATAAATATTCTTTAAATTATAAACGGATTACAATTTATTGTTGCGCAATGGCTATTTCTTAATTTATTTCTACTTAGTCTGGAACTTCTTACATTCGTTTCCTCGTGCTGAGCTTTGTTTCAATATCGTTTGTTTTTCTGTCTCACCCCTTGGACTCAGGTCCCGAAAGAGAGCAAGAAACAGCTTCGAGTTGTCATGTTGAGTGAGGAATTCTTCAGCTGTGGGGAGACTGTGTCTGCGACCAAGTCAGAGTGTATCATTGTGGAGACAGATTAAACGACGCGCTGGACACAAAGAATCGGGGAGAGGGACAGATAGAGAGAATAGAGGAAAAGGACAGACAGACGAAACACCTGGCTGATGCACAGAATAGGGGAAAGGAACAGACAGACTTAAACACCTGGCTGACGCACAGAATAAGGGAAAGTGATGGACAATCTAGAGTGCTGATTGACACACAGAACAGAGGAAAGTGACAGAGGATGCATAGTGAGCAAGTCCAGATGGCAAGGGGCCACCGTATTGCTTGAGGAACACATAATGAAAGTTTCATCTTATCATCAAGACTTAATGGTGGGTAATTGTGACTGACGCACATCTTAATATGAACAATATATTTATGTGCTTAAAGATGGTCTGTATTAAAGAAGCTTTCAGTGCTTATGCCTTGTGCTCACTGCAGAAATGTTTCTCCATTCCCCTTTTGACAATAGCTGATCCTTTCAAAGGTGGCCATTGAAAGACTTCACATGCTCTAGTCTAATCATACAGATCAGGTCCATTTGACCAATGAGCACACCTTCTTAATAAAACAGACCTCACATAGGTATCAGGTTTAGGAAATAAATGTATGCAGACATATCAGGCGTCAGTGGTTTCCTTGCAGGATTCTGTTTTTTTATTCCTGATTTGATATTGAATGAGAAATGTATTATAAATATGCTCAATTCATCACATCACATTGCATCATTTGGATTATAAATGAAGTAAGCCATTAAGAGACTCCCAGTATTTGGCTTTCATTTCTGATGTGATATTTGTAGTTGAAAAATGCATCATCAGCTCAAAGGTTTTGATCTTGTGAATTTTTTTTGGCTTTTTAGCGAGTGTCGTGATTTGATCTCAGCCTTGTGATCTAATTGGATGTGAATGTTAATTACAGTATAATCCACTTATATCGACATGCTTTGGGAAGTGGATTTGATGTCGATATATAAATGTTTATAAATGAAAATGTACAGCCAAAGAGGAAAAAACAAGGGGAGGTCAGCTGTAAAAGACAACACTACTTATTTAAGCTGGTTGCTTCCCTTGATTCTTGAAACTAACTAGAGGCAGAGGAGAGGGGGGGGGGGGCAAAGACCAAGCAAGGCGAGGTGCACACGACACACCAGCACAAACTTTGTTATAACATCCTTGTAAGGCCTGTTTATGACCGCCCTGCTGGGGAAAAAGGAAAGGCGAGGCACTGACTCACTGACCGTGGCACTTGCCAGCAACCGACTGAGAATGGGATGGGGAAGGAGAGTCAGCGATCGGGAAGGGGGTAGGGAGATGATACCCAGCGCGCGAGACGCTCACGTCTGCGAGGCACTTTACATACTGTGTTGGAGACTACACTGTGTAGGCCCAGTATGACCTTCTAAAGCCTGGTGTGTCGAGGCTACTGGGCGGGTATGCGGACTTAATGAACAACTAATGCGTTGACCGTTAGTGTGGATTTTTCCCCCATTTATGTTCGTGTGCTTCGCCAGATACCCAGGAAGTATGTCGATAAAGCAGAGTGGGCCGAAAAAAGTCGATATAGAGAAATTGTTTCGTGAAGATATTGAAGGAAAAATTTCGTAATTGGAAAATATGTCGATACGTCAAAATGTCGATGAATCGAATGTCAATATAAGTGGATTATACTGTACTTAATTTGCTCCTGGTAGTTCTGGACTTTCAGAGACGTCAAATGTTTCAAACCATCTGTTTGTTAATAGACTGTTTACAATGTTGACATTTCCTCATGAAGTTCTAGAAATCCTATCAGTCAGCTTCAGTTGGCTACATCCTATATTTCCAGCAATTTGTGGGACTGTTTCAATGCTGTTTAACTGTAACTTTTCCAATACCATTCTGTATCAAGATTGTTGGATTTGTGAATTAGAAGATGAATCTAGACATTTAATCAATAAGCAGATAGCACCCACATTGTTTAATGTCCCAACATTATTTCCAGTGTTCTTGTAATTTATTTATGGATAGTCATAAGAAGAATAACTGCCTATGAAATGGGGATTATTTTTTTGTTTCCCATATTTGTCCCTGTTGGTTTTGAAGTGTGTGAGTGTGTGTGCTTGTGTGCGTATTTTATCGTGTGTCTTATATTCATTCCTTGTTCTCCTGTGTGTTTTTGACACTCTAAGCGGACGTGAAGTTCGGCATTTTTTTTTTTAACTTAAAAGACCAGTTTGGATGTTTTATGGCATTGCTATAGGTAATCTTTCGCAAATGAAAACCAATGATATACCATATCAAATTAAAAGGGCACATAGTGCTTAAGATCACAGAGTTTGTTAACCCAATTCACCCTGCGCCACCCCCAGGGATGGTGCTACTGACTGAAGCGTCTTTAGGCCATTCCCAAAGTGGGGACATTAACCTGTTCTTATGCACAGTAAAATTGTAAATGGGCTGATTCATCAATGTCATGTTCATAACTGTACCTGAACTGCAACAGGGAACTGCTGCTTTTTCTTTCCTAATCTATTATCATTTGCCTCTATTGTGACCCTCTATTTCCAGGGTGCCTTGATAGTCGAAGCAGACTTTGTGCTGTTGAAGCTAGAGAGGTGAGCAGAGTAAGCCTGATTCTCTGTAAAGGATTCTCTGTTGACATTCACCTCTTGGCGCTCATATAACCTTATGCAGTTACGAGTGCAGTAAAACCTCTACTATTTTGTACCCTGCGTTGCTGTAGGCCGGGGGAAAAAGTCAGTCTGAACTCGACACACTAACCTTAGACATGCATTGTGCCCAAACTATTTAAGCTATCTGTATGAAATTTCGCTTAGAATTTTCTGAAAATGGAGGAAGGAAAGAGCAGAGAAAACGATCTAATTCTTCGTCTGACTACGACTCACCGGCACTCAATTTACCTCTATAGCAACTTATAGTATGGTCTAGATCTTGCTTTTCTTCGAAGTTTTCATGGCACTATAATCAATCAAATCACCTTGTTTTTCTAAATGTATCATGTCTACTTTCTTTTTCTTCGCTGCTTATGCCCAAAACAAAACCAAGAACATAGTTCGCGTATTTTAACAAACACAAAAATAGCCTTTGCACAGTTGGTTTTTTTGGTGGTTGTTTCTCTTTCTTCTCATTCACAGAGATTTCGGTGCTCGCTTTCTAACCTTGATTTGCGGTGACATGACAACAAAACTAATTCGTACTTAGCATAAAACTGGATCAAAACAAGCTAGCGGAAGTTTTCACAAGTTACAAGTGACCTGTTATTTTCAATAGAAATCTAGGTAAGTAGTTCGGACTCGATTTTGTGGACTGGTAATAGTCGTAGCTTGGTGGACAGAAGCGCGCTGCAGCTAGGAGTATACCTGAAGCGTTGATGAAATGGGTTAATGGACATGTCTTGTTTTCATAAAAAATGTTTTTCTCTCATAGAATTTTCTTTTTTTAGTAAAATTTATTGCACATACAGTCTGCGCTGAATTCTGACTTTTGAATGCATTAATATTACTTGCAAAATGTGACGTATTTAGACTGACAGATGCTTTAAGTTAAGCTGTTGTGAATAAATGTAATTTATATGCTGACTAGTTTCTTCCAAAGATCTCATAAACTGTTGCCGAAGTGACTGTGAATGGTATACTTTATACGAGATTTAACTGCACACAGGTGTGGAATTCATGATTTCATTAGTAGGCTTTATGAAACGCTGTGTTGTATTCACGGCTATAAGGCAGTGTGTTTTCTCTATTCAGAGGCCCTGATATGTTTTAAAATATTATATTATGAAAGCATGCAATACTGTTGTACAAAAGATTTTAAAAGACCAATTTAAAACTGATTATGAAATGAACAGACTGAGTGAAACGGAAAGCTATTCACTATTTTACCACTATAGACATCTATTATTTTTACATGAATGAGATATTGTATGTAATTTATGAAACCGCACTCCTTCATTTGCGTGCTCTCTCTTTTTCTATCTTTTTTTCTCGATTGTATGTAAGTGTATGTCCTTTGGGGGG